GCGTCTGAAACAGCACCTGAATTACCAGAGCCATCAGATCCTCTGCAAAACACTCACAACGCAGTGCAACATTCCTGCATTTACCTGGGGATGCCCCAGGAACTCACTGAGTCTTGTAATCCATGTTTCTTTGCTTTCTTAGTGGGTTTGCTCCCGCCACACTTCCTCTGTGTTTTCCCTGAAGAAACCCCTGTTCAGTCTCCCTTGGTTCCTGTCTCCTCTGCGTTTCCTCCTCTGTCCTTGTATTCCCTGCTTCAAGCCACAGTTTCTCACAGCCCTGGCGCCTCCTTGCTGCAAAATCGCATCTCATTAATGGCTTCAGAACATCGTCTTTCCCAGTTCCACCCCCAACACGCTGTTAATGGAGCTTTAGCTGACAGCTGTGTCCTTGTAATGGAAGTCAGGAGCCAACATCAACATCTTCTCTTAGTTGCTCATGTGTATTTGCAGGTGTAGCTGTTACACCGATACTGGTCACACAAATATCTTGCCTGTAAAGTTTCAGTGTTGGTAGCTTCGTTATTTCTAAAGGTGAAATTTCAGGTGGGTGAAGCTGATGGAACAACTTCCTGACAAAGAATGAGCAGTTTCGTGGCTTCTCTTGCTGCAACCCTGATGCTCGTCTGACCTCTCAGTGAGGTATCAAGCTCCTGTCCTAGAAAATAGCCAACAGGTATAAAAAGCTGGATTGATTTTGTTTGTTGCTTTGTCTCCTACTTCATTTTTAGGGAGCTGAATCAACTCACTGGGAGGTGAAATGAGCAGCCGAGCTGGTGAAAGGAAGGGGAGGGTACCACAGAGCTGAGAGGAGGAGGTGTGACAGTAAGGGACAGAGGAAAGGAAGGGGAACTACCTCCTCAAAGACAGGTGGATGTTGAAGATCAAGAAACTGTTGGGCCAAAGATTGAGCCTTTCTACTCTTTTCTTGAGTAGAGCTTCCCTAAGTAGAGATTTCCTTTTTTTTTTTTCCTGGAAGTAATTTTGAAATAGTAGAGGTGTCTTTTTCTATCCTTGTTCAAAATATAAAATAAAAGCAATCTTGTACCAAATACGGTACTTAGGTTTCTGAAATTTAGTTTGCTGAGATCAGGAGAGGGCTGTTGATGAAGGGAATTAGGGGACTGGAGCCTCTCTGACCAGGAAAGGCTGAGGGAGCTGGGGCTGTTCAGCCTCCAGGGGAGACACTGAGAGGGGACCTCCCCCAGGTCTGTAGGGGCTGCAGGGAGGGGGCAGAGGATGGACCAGGCTCTGCTCAGGGGGGCCCAACAATGGCACAAGAGGAATGGACAGGAACTGATGCCCAGGAAGTTCCACCTGGACAAGAGGAAGAACTTCTTTGCTGTGCAGTGACTGAGCACTGAACAGATTATCCAGACAGGGTGTGGAGTCTCCCTCATTGGAGATATTCCAGACCCATCTGGACACAATCCTATGCCACGTGCTCTGGGATGACCCTGCTGGAGAAGGGAGGTTGGACCAGATGACCCACTGTGGTCCCTTCCAACCTGACCCATTCTGTGATTCTATGAAGACTTAACACCAAAATCTCATCTTGGCCTCCTGAATGAAGGCTGCAGGTGCTCCTGCTGCACTTGCCCTTCCTGGGTTTGGAGTCTTACTGTCACCATTCCTCCTGAGGACCAGCAGCTGCTGTGTCATGTGGCACACAGACAATGGGAGATTTCCTGATATGCTCCTGCTGTTTCCTTGATGTCACCCAAATGTCATGGAAGAAAATAAAAAGAGCTTTGTTTCCAGTCAGAAGTGAAGGTGGCTGGAAAAAATGATTGGAGAGAATAGAAGCAGATTATCTGGAGGAAAGAGCTTGGGTAGCTAATGGCAAAGTAATCTTCAGCTGAGAAGTAAGAGTCCTCAAACCTCTGGAACCAGATCTAGTATTACAGGAGACTCCAGACGTCTGGATCTACACACTGTGCCAGACTCAGCTTTTGTGTGGGGCTAAACAGGCAAACACTGGCATTGGGGACACTGTTGGGAGAAGTTCTTGTCTTCCTGTGGCTGCTCCTATTGCTGCCTCTTCAGTTATGCCAATGCAGTCATTGTGATTTAATATCAAAATTGACCAGCATTTGAAAATTAATAGTTCTGGGGTTTTATTTATTGTCTGATCTGCTGTGTCACACAGGCCTGCAGGTATTTTTACTGGCACAGCTGGAGAAGGAGTGACCTGCAGTGTGCAGGTGACATGAACAAGAGAGAGCAGGAGTAACTTGGATCAACTTTGTTACTGAAAAGTGTTCATGTAGTGAAATTTTAACACATTGTACATTTACTCAGGTAATCTTTGGATTTTTTTTTCACATATAAGCGTTTCAGGCTTTTAGATGGTCTGTGTAAATGTCTTAAAATGGTTCTGCACAACAGTTCTGGTTTTGCTTCTTGGTATCATAGTTTGTTTTATTTCTGCCTGTTGTGTCTAAAGGCTATTAAGCTGAAAGTCAAGCACCTGAATTAGGAAATACCAGGATTAAAGCTGCTTTTGCAGGATTAATTTGTTCCCCTGCCAATTGTGTACCTTGCAGCTGTGGTTACTGTTAAAGTGACACAGTTACATTGCACCAAACCCTCCTTCACTGCACACAAGAGACTGTGCCGTGAGCATGAAAGGGATGGATGATTGTCTCTTGTCATGTTATATGTAGTGAATTGAAGGTGTTCTAGGAATAAAAAAGGAGGATGGGGAAAGAAGGATGGGTGACTGTTGGGCTCTGCTTTAGATGTGTAGATTTTCCACCAGTCTCTGCTGGTTACACTGAATTACTGTACTAGGATGGACAAAGGGACACATAGTAATTACATGGTGTTTATTCTGCCAGTTTTACACAAAACACAGGGCCTGGGCAAAGCAGATTAAAACAAAATAATTGAAAACATTTCAAAATATGTGACTAATACACTGTATTTTCACTCTGTCCTCGAAGGTGGGGGTTATGCAGCAACTTGTATTGGCTGTCTCTACACCACTGTTCTAGTTCAAGCTCCCTGAGCACACCATTGATCTCTTACCTCCATAAACCCTCTGCAAGTTGCATCCCAGAGGAATCACTTGGGTTTGCAAACTCACCTTCTTCCAGATGAAGCTAAAGGAAAAGATGCCTTCCTGGAACACTTGTTCCAATAACACTCCAGGTGTTCATGGGTGCTCAGACCCTGAAACTGGATTAGGGCTGCTCAGACCCCACCACTTTAAATTGCAGTGGCACCCACAAAGGAGAGGGGTAGCGAACCACCAACCTCATCCCCCCCAGTATTTTTAAGCGAAACACAGAAAGCAAACCAAGCCAGATTGGTTTCTCAAATTAAGAGTGACTGCACTGCTTTTTTTAGATGGAGGTGTGGGGGGATTATGCATTATAACTGTAACTATCTGAGGTGAATTAAGGATAAATTAGTGTTTGTGAAATGACACTGCCAGGCACTGAAATACTCGATAAAGACTGATTTGGTGAGGAAGCAGCATTCTACTTTTCCTATTGCCGTGGCACTGTGAAGTCATTTGGGAGCTTCAGATGCAGAAGTGGCAGCTCAATGCCCAGAGGTGCAGCACCTTTTCAGTCATTTCTCGATAATACCAATTTAGACTTTGATCGCTTACTTGTATCCATTTGTTGTAAGTTTTGTCACCCTCATTTATTAATCACGGGGTTACAGCCTCTTACTACTGTTTTTTTTATTTTTATAAACTTTACAGTGTTGCTTGTAAGGTGATGGACAGTGAAACCTTTTCATTGTCTATGTATTTATATGTATAAATCATAAACTAAAGAGTAATTTCTCAAATCAGCTGTAGAAAGAAGAGAATTGCTTTTAACAGACACATCATTGACGTGTTTTATACCACCATGGAGGAAGGCAGTGTAAAGAGTGTCCACAAAAAAAAAAAAGGAAAATTGGATGTTGCTGATTTGTCTGGGTGTGTCACTGTGCACAGATGTATAAATTCCAATTCCTGCCCCAGAAGTTCTTGATTTAAACTAAATTAAAACCTGATTCTCTTCTTTTGTTAAGCTCCAATCAGGAGCAGTATATTGAGTTATTGAGACATCTTGCAGTATGGAGTAGGTGTGTTTTGAAGCACATGGAACATGGAGATTTCTTCACTGCAGCTTAATTTGTGCTTATTGTGCTCCTGGATGCATCCCAGGCTCACTGTTCCTCAATATATGGAATGTGGGCATAAAGTGCTCTCCTGCTAATGAATAAAATGGGGACTTCAGCTCTCTGGTTGATTTTCAGCTACAGCAAAGCAATGCAGAGATAGAGCAAAGCAATGCAGGGATACCTCAGTGAAAATTGTGACATTTCCCAGATCCTGCCAGTACAGTTTTAGGTGACACATATTTGATTGCTGGAAGTATATAATTAACAGCACTTACTAAGCATAAACAAACGTGATAAATTTAGATTACAGACAATAATCCTGCTTCCTTCTCTCTTCCCAGTATTAATGCCCTTTCCATCATCCTATTAAAAGTGACAGCAAAACCCCCTTAATTTGTTTGGTCAGCAGGAGACTGTCAGGGTTGCTTAAGCTCAGAAAGGTGAGTTAGTATAACTAAGTTTAGGCATCTGATCCGAAAGTTTATCAATGCAGCTGTCAAGACAGATCTTCATAAAGCTAATGCAGAGATAGAGAGTGAAATGATGGAACTGTTCCTTCCTGTGTATTGCAGGAAAAGAACACAGCCCACCCATCATATTTGTGGCGTCGTATTTCTGGTTTAAGATCAGCCATTAACAGGGTACTTGAAAGTGGTCAGATGAGCTGGTTCTTCCCATTCCTGTGCATCTGTTGGAACTGACAGTGTTGTTTTCATTCCCTTACCTTTCCTCCAAACAAAGCCGTTTCCTTAATCACTATTTGTTGGTGGTTTGGCCAGTTTACTGTAGTACAGGGGGGATTAGGTGTGTTTGCTTTACCTCTTACAGTTCACATGAGGCAACCTACAACTTTTGTTGTTGTTGTTGTTCTTTTTCAGAGGCATCAGAATCATGGAGGGGCTCTTGCACTACATAAACCCAGCACATGCAATTTCCCTTCTGAGCACCCTGAACGAGGAGCGTCTCAAGGGACAGCTGTGTGACGTTGTGCTCATAGTGGGAGACCAGAAATTTCGAGCCCACAAGAACGTTCTGGCTGCCAGCAGTGAATACTTCCAGACTCTGTTCACAAACAAGGAGAACGAGTCTCAGTCAGTGTTTCAACTCGACTTTTGCGAGCCGGATGCTTTTGATAATGTGTTGAACTACATTTATTCTTCATCCTTGTTCATTGAGAAAGGCAGTCTCGCAGCTGTGCAAGAGCTGGGCTACAGTCTTGGGATATCCTTTCTCACAAACATCGTTTCCAAGAGTCCCCAAGCTCCTTTTCCTGCCTGCCCCATCAAGAAAATACTGTATCAAGATGAAGATGAAAGTAGTTCCCAGAAGAGAAGTGTCATCGTCTGTCAGAACAGAATTGAAGCACAAGTGAAAAGCATAAATCAAACACAGCATGATTTAAGCCATACTCCTAAACCTTCGCCCTCTGTGGCGGTCAAGACTAGCAGCAGACCACAAATAACAAAACCAACTGAAACCCTTCACAGCTTATCACTGACTGAAAGGAGGTGGCTGAAAGAAAGCCCTTTGGGCTATACGAAGGTTCATGAAACTCCTGGAACTGTGGAGGATCAGGGCAGGGGTGGTTTGGTGAAAAGGAACACGGTGCTGCCTCAGATGCCTTTAGCAGAGAAGGAAATTGCAGACAACGAGCCAGGAAGCAGTGGTCAGCTTTTGAGGGGAAAGGCTGTGGAGATGTCACTGAAGAGACCACGACCACCAGTCTTGTCTCTGCGTGGGGCATCGGAATCCACGTTTTTGTTGCGAGAGGCAGGGAAAGGAAACGGTCAAGGCGAAGACAGGAATTTGCTGTACTACTCAAAGTTAGGGCTGGTAATCCCATCTAGTGGGTCTGGCCCAGAAAACCAAAGTATTGACAGAAGTGGGCCCCTTGTAAAAAGTCTTCTGCGGAGGTCACTGTCCATGGACAGCCAGGTTCCTATTTACTCACCTTCCGTTGACCTAAAACCCGCACAGGTATCGTCCTCCTCCTCACCGGGAACTAACGATTCCCAGAAAACATTTAACGTCGTGTCCCAGAAGTCATCCTTGAAAGAGTCGTCGGAGAAGTTAGTCCTGGATGAGAAACCACAGGTAATACACCCACATCGCCTTAGGTCTTTCAGTGCCTCTCAGTCCACTGACAGGGAGGTGGCTTCCCCTCTCTCGGAGGTGCGGATAAAAACCGAACCGAGCAGTCCACTCTCGGATCCCGCTGATATTATAAGAATTACGGTGGGTGATGGTTCAGCCTCGACAAATAAAGACTTTGCTTTTAAAACCGAGGATGATCACAAGGAGCCGAGCAGAATTCCAGCAAAAAGGAGGTTTCAGGACGACAGAATGCTGCCATTCAAGAAGCTGAAGGCGGATGAGCAGGGTTCTCCTGGCTCAGAAGAGAACTTTGAGGAAGGCTCAAGCCCTCCGCACCTTGATGCTGATTTTCCTGATTCTGATGTCAGTAAAGATGAGTACAGCGAGATGGAAGAAGCAAGACCAAATAAAAAATTTAAATGCAAACACTGCCTTAAAATCTTCAGATCAACAGCAGGTCTTCATCGTCACGTTAACATGTATCATAATCCAGAGAAGCCCTACGCTTGTGACATATGCCACAAGAGATTTCACACCAATTTCAAAGTGTGGACGCACTGCCAGACCCAGCATGGAATTGTGAAGAACCCCTCACCGGCCTCCAGTTCTCACGCCCTCTTGGATGAAAAATTCCAAAGAAAACTGATCGATATAGTGAGGGAGAGGGAAATCAAAAAAGCTCTGATCGTGAAACTGAGACGTGGCAAGCAGAGCTTTCAGGGCCAGTCCGCTTCACAAGCACAGCAAGTCATCAAGAGGAATTTAAGGTCGAGAACCAAAGGAGCCTATATTTGTACCTACTGTGGGAAAGCTTATCGCTTCCTCTCGCAGTTCAAACAGCACATAAAAATGCACCCAGGGGAGAAACCCTTAGGAGGGAACAAGGCTCCTAAGCAGAAGGATCACATTCATATTGAAAGCCCGGTGGAGAACAAGGAGGTTTATCAGTGCCGGCTCTGCAATGCCAAGCTCTCCTCACTCATTGAGCAGGGAAATCACGAGCGACTCTGTAGGAACGCCACTGTCTGTCCTTACTGCAGCCTTAGGTTTTCTTCTCCAGAGCTGAAGCACGAGCACGAAAGCAAGTGTGAGTACAAGAAGCTCACTTGCCTCGAGTGTATGCGTACCTTCAAATCATCCTTCAGCATCTGGCGCCATCAGGTTGAGGTTCACAATCAAAACACGATGGCTCCATCAGAGAACTTTTCCTTACCTCTCATGGATCACAACGGGGAAATAACCAGTTCGTCCAGGTTGCCCCCGCAGTCAGAGTCCAATAAAATGAACAACTTTGTTGCTGCAAAGGAGGATGGTGTGTTCAGTGACTCGTCAGAACAAATCAACTTTGATTCTGAAGACTCCTCGTGCCTACCTGAGGACTTAAGTGTCTCCAAACAGTTTAAAATCCAGATCAAAGAAGAGCCTGTGGATGACATCGAGGATGAGGTCACCGAAACGAGCAGGGAACCTAAGGAGGTGGTCTCCAAGAAGGATGCCAACTTGTGGCCCTGTGAGAAGTGCGGGAAGATTTTCACCTTGCGCAAGCAGCTGGAGCGTCACCAGGAGCTCCTGTGCTCCGTGAAGCCCTTTATTTGCCACGTGTGTAACAAGGCCTTCCGAACGAATTTCCGGCTGTGGAGCCACTTCCAGTCTCACATGTCGCAGGCTGCAGAGGAGGCCACGAACAAGGAGCCTGAGATATGCCCACCAGCTAACTCCCCGTCCCCGCCGCCCTTACCCCCGCCCCCGCCGCTCCCCAAAATCCAGCCTTTGGAGCCGGATAGCCCCACGGGCTTGCCGGAGAGCTCCAGTACTACTGAGAAGTTGTTCGTGCCCCAGGAGTCAGACACGCTGTTCTACCACGCCCCGCCGCTCTCGGCAATCACATTTAAAAGACAATACATGTGCAAACTCTGTCACAGGACTTTCAAGACGGCTTTTAGTCTCTGGAGCCACGAACAGACACACAATTAAGCTTTAACAGAAACCTTACAAAGCTGTGTTCAGGGTCTCACATGTCTGCCACACAGACTAGAAATTTTAAGAGGATCAAAACAATGATGAAAAATGTGGAATTTGTGATGCTGCTTGGATTTGAAGATTAGGGGAGGCTAACTTGGTTATTAGGTAGAAAGCAGAGTAATTTAAAACCCTGTGGTCTGGGATCTGATAGTAACAGTATAAATTTTATTTCATTTAACACTGAAATGCAATTGCTTCTGGATTGTATGCATGGATCTTCATCCTGTGATGTTGGTGTGTGCGTGTGTATTATATATAAAGTTATATATTAAATGAAAGAGCAACAACAATTTGGATTCTAACTGTGAGCTTATAGTAGTGAAATACTGTAACCAACTTCATTAATTTGTTTTCAAAAAGGAAGCCAACACACGAGCTCCATATAAATGGTTGCCATGCACTGGCAGTTAGGGAGGAGGTGGATGGAGTGTCTTGCTGTATTGACTTAGACCTTAGAAACCTTTAGCAATAACAAATAAACCTCAACTTTGAGTAATCCTGATGTTATTGGATACGAATGTTTGCTATTTTAAGGGAACACGGAACTGTTTTGTTGTTGTATGGAACTTGTGCAAATTAAAATAGAATCTAAAGTCAGCAATATTATTACTAAGATTTTATATAAGAAGTAGCAGCAAGTCTGCTCTCAGCCATTTAATTTTAAGTTTCTAAGGAAAATCAAGAGTGGGGGTACTTTGCTTTATATAATGTCCCAAAGACTAATTTCCTATGGATACTTGGGTAGCTGAAGTCATTGTATAACAGCCATCATAATGCAAATGGTACTGTTTGTAACATGAACTGGGGTTCAATGGACGTCAGACAAGTTTCATAGCTTTGTTTCCACTATTTGTACAACTGTTTGTAATTCTGACTACAAAGGAATGTATAACTATTAAATCAACAGGAGAGAGCTCATCGAGGGACAGAAGATGAGTTGTGTTTCTAAACACGGTCATAAGCTTGGCCATGAGTACAAAGATATGTTTTAACAGAACCTAAAAATGTAAATATTTATATAGACACCTGTATAAATGAAGAAGTATGTATTTGAAATTTGTATTAAGCGTTGCATATCCAGCTCAAAGCAGAGGAGAAAATCACACTACAATCACAGCATTTTATGAATACAATGCATAGAGTAGTTCTTTCTGCAGCTTTTCTATCATATGTGATACTGTGTTGCAATTTTCCAATTTGTTGAAAATTGTGGTAATAATGGAACCACTTCCATGTGGTTCCATTATTTTACCTCAAATCACAACTGGAGCATTTAGTGTAAGTAGGATCATACATATTTACCAGGAGCTATAGTAAGGGTCCAAATTTTTCTGTAAGTAAATACTTTCCCAGAAGCGTGAGGTGAACTAGCAGTGAGAAATTCTTCTGCTGGAATTTAAACTCGATGGAGTGGTGATAGATTAGAGTGAAGGTAAATGATGCAAACAGTGTTTCTGATCCTGACCAACCTTCCCCCTGCAGGGCTGGGAGAGGGGGGGATGTCATTCCACACTGCTGAGTCAGAGCCCAGTCTGTGTCTGCTGAAACCAGCACAGAGTTTGGTCACCAGTTTCAGGGGGAGCCAGAGTGAGGCTTTAGTTCTGTGTGTAACCATGTATGTGACTGTTCTTTCGATATCTCAAACTCAAAAGTCAGAAGAATTGCAAGCTGACACTTAAGATTTGTCAAAATTAAGCACAAATGTAATTCCTAAGAATCTGAGGATGGGCATCCTTAATCAGGCACACACCAGAGTAGATTTTTCTCAGTGAAAGCCCGAGTGTGCCACCATTTTTTTTCCAACAGATTTTTAATCATTTTTCCTGTAATTTAAATTTAAAAAGAATTAGCTCAGGACAGACCCCTGACTTTTTTTTTCCAGCTACCAAAAAATTTGCAATGTTAGTTTCAAGCCTCTTCTGCTTCATTTTTTACCAAAATCTAAAATTGTTACTGAACACTTCTATTAGTTCTTTTTTTGCCCTCTTCCAGACAAATTGTAGCTGAATATGATTAGGCTAATTTGCTTGAATATCAGTTAAACTCTTTCAGTGGCATTGCAGTTAAAGAAGGTACTTGCTTAATAGTGACATTTCCATTACTGACTTTTTTTATTCCACCCAATAAGACTAAATTTCTTTCCTACCACAAACAATTTCAAACTAAAATGGTTATTGCACTTAACCTGGCTTCAAAAAAAAATCAGAAAAACATAAAGCCCCACTAAGTATCCTTCAAATGTATTTAAGAAATCTGTGCATATAAAATATGAACATGTTTTTGTAAAATGGTTCCTGAGTTTTCATCAATTATTCCCCTACACAACAGTCTGAAAGTGTAAATGTAAAGTTCTTTCTGAAGGAAGGTGGCAGCGAGCTCAGCTGGGTCAGAGCCATCTCACTTCCAACTGGGATTCTGCTCTGTGATAGGATGAGAAATTTTACACACTTTAAATCAAAATCTTGTGCAACATTTTTGCAGAAACCTTGACCTTTTTCCTACTGTACTAAAAAATCCATCAAATATTTTTGATCTGAATAGCCTCCTAAGTTTTTCTTCAGTGTTTGGGGGGTTTTTTGTTTGGTTGTTTGGGTTTTTTTTAATTTTGTTTTCAACTTCGAGCGTGTTCTGTGTGTTTGTTTTTTTTTTTAATTTGGTTCCTCTCGTTTAGTAAAGGAATTCATGATCTCTAAAATTTAAATATGAGATGTTTATATAGCAGTTCTGGTTTTCTATTAGCTTTTATACAGTATCTTAAAAAGCCCTTGATAGAAGTGTTTATTTTGGAGGATACGGAATAAATATGCTTCCACTTATATAACTTTAATATATGTTTTAAAAGTTAAATTATGGAGAAAAAAAAATGTTAGTTGCTTGTTTATAAATAAAGATCTTTTGAAGAGTGTCTAGTTTGGCCACAGCCAAAATAAAAGGCAAATTTATTGATACAAAAGCCTGTCTTCAGCATATTTTGTTTAATTTTATAGCTGTGTACTAAAGTGACACAAAGTTAGAGGTCTTGTTAAATATAAAAAGTGTTTTGCTTTGTTTCTTAAAACTTGTGACAGGAATGTGCAGATGGTTTAATATATAGATTAGAATCTATAATTCTCCTCTTTTTTTGCTATTTTTATAATCTGTCAGATAAATCTCAGTGAACTATCCTGCTTCAGTGGAAGTAGAGGGGAAACTTGTGTTGCATTTTAAGAGGAGCAGGGTTGAGCCATGAAATGTATTTTGGTTTGGGACTTTTTTTTCCTTTCAGGCACCGTGTTGGCAAAGCCTCTGAGCCTATGCTTGAGTCCATTAAGATCAGTCTTAATTTATTTTTTTTAAAGTGTTTAAGTTCTTTGCTGAATTGGGACCATGATCAACCTTGAAAATGAGCAATGGCAGCAAAATACGTACAGATTTTGTTTTTTAAAGTCCTGGAACAAAAAGTTGATATTAATTTTCCTCTCCATAAAACCTGCATAGAGAATTGGGTGTAGCTTTACAAAAACAAAGGATGTGAATCAGGAATTACACTGTCTTTAGTTTTGGGGGGTTTTTTGATAAGGGGGAGAGAAACACCCTGTGACAGGTAATTAAGGAGACAGTCGGTGAAGTGGGTGACTCCAGGGTTTGTCTGGGGTGTTTCAAACTGAGATGTTTCCTTATCTCTGACCCCAAACAGCTGTAAGAGGCTTTTCCTACATTTCCTGTTTAGGCAGGAACATCCAGGAGGTTTTTTTGCCTGATATTGTTTATTTTCCCCCCAAGCAGGACACGCGGGTTTGCTCTGAAGCTCTACACGGACTCTGTTTCTGTTCCAAGCTTCCAGTGTTAAAACTAGTTTCTCCCATGGGATAAGGACAGACTATGCCTAATTTCTTGGCTCTTCTCAGTGAGGGTGCAAATATCTGGCATGAGCCTGTAATCTGGCATGTGCCTATACTGTTCAATGAAATTGTTTACATTTTCTTACCAGAACATTTAATTAAAAATCAAAACAAGCTTAGGGGCTTGGGGTTTGTTGGGGATTTATTTTTGGGGTTTTTTTGGTTTTGTTTTGGTTTTTGTTTTTATTTTTTAGTGTTGGTGTTAATGAATCAGTGTTAAAAATCTTTTTCTGTTGTTGCTGAGCACAGCCTGATAGTATTTTTAATGGCATTGATTCTTGTTTATTTAAAATGACTTGTGAAAAACTGTACTGTAACTGCTCTACAGAAAGGGACACTATCAAGAGAAAGGTTGGGTACAGAAAATGGACTTACCTGTATTAGAAATACTTGACGTTAATAAAATTGAAGAATTGAGTCATAACACTTGAGCTGCTTTTTGGGCATGAAAATGCCCACTCCAGGCATCCTCCGTTGTTGCAGGGATGTCTGGAAAATGTGTCTGAATTCTGTGGGTTGAGCTGATTTTTCATGTTGCTTTTTCTCTCACTGTGCCAGAGTAAAGGACTCAATCCAATTTTTCCTTTTTCCAGCTTCTCAGCAATACACATTATCTTTCAAAGACACAAACTTCCCACTACTGCAGCAGCATCTTTAATTCAAATATGTGCATAAAACCAGGACAAGCTCCCCTTTGCAATGTAACATGCAAAATACACTTCAAGTACATATTTTAAGGCTTATTCTTGACAGTGTCCCTTTTTAAAAAAGCAGGAAAATGGGATCACTTTTAGTGCTTGGGTACAGGGGAACAGATTCCTACAGTTTCTAAAAATTGGGATTGTCCAATACATTTGCTAGAGAATTTTTCCAGTTAGTTACACAAAATCACTTGTCATTTTAAAGGATTATAGAGGTCAGACGAAGGATGCTGGGTTTATAATCCTGTGTACCTTATACATTCTATATCCATTCAATACACCAGGATGGGTTTTTACTTTTTTTAGGACTGAGACTTAATAGCTTAAGGTAACTTTTTTCTTTAATGTAATGTAAATCCATTGCTGCTTTGTACAACTTTTTCTACCGTGTGTTTTCTTTACTTAGATCTTGACTAAGAACTGTTGGCGTCCAATAAACTTACACTTTGTTTCTTTTGAAATTACTGTGTCTTCTGCTGGAATCTCTTGGCAAAGTGGGATGTTATTGCACATACCATTGTGTCTGCGGGGTGGGAAGCGTGTTTGTAAAAAAGCATCTTTTGTTCTGGTTTTTTTTGATGTAAATGCTACTTTTACATTGCTAAAATAGTGGCTTTTTGTTTGTTTTGGTAGGTGCCCCACCGAACCTTTTACTGGAAAACGCAAGAAAACCAACTGCTTTAGACAATCTTTAAAAACTTGAGCACAGCCCAAATTCTGCTTCCTATGAAATCAGAGATTAAAAGGGGAATCTGAGGAGGGAACACACATCGACTGACTGTCTCTTTCCTATAAAACTGGACTGAGACAGATGTTTGGAAAGACACAGTCAGGAATTTTATGGTATTCTGCAGTGCTCTCCTCCAAAGCAGTTTTGCTGCTTGCATTTCCCTCTTCAAAACACAGTGTGGGAATGTAATGTGTGGATTCCCATGGTGCAGAAAATGACCTTTCTATCTTTTGGAAGCAGGGTTTACTCAGTTCCCCTCTTCAAACTAGATAAGACCTGTCTTTCAAAATGCTTAGGCCTGTTTTCTCAGCTTCTTGGACCCCACATCTGCTTCCCTTTGCCATTTTTAACTTGAGCATTTTGGTCAAACCAGTTTCATTCACACTTGACAGAGGAGACAAGGTCTCCACAGTTAATCTCCCACAGGTTTTGTACAAACCACTGACTGGATATCAAGGAATGGTCTTGGTGGGAAGGATGAGACTTGCAGCAAGAGGATGTGCTGAACATTTCCGTGCCCTTTTCACCCCAGAGCTTGTCACTGTGTGCACTGTCTTGTTAGAAGGAGTGGGGCAATAGGTCAGGTGAAACACAGGGCACAGCTGAAGTACCAACTCTGCCAACTGGTCGGATCAAGGCTGGAAAGGGCACTCCAAGCTCAAGAGGATTTGAAAACAGGGACAAAGGGCTCCTGGCCTGTCCCTCTGTGGAGCATCCCTGCTCCTCCAAAGTTAGGTGAGCTGTGGAAAAGGCAAAGAGAGGGCAGAGAGCTGCTCTCTGACTCATTCACAGAGTCTTAAGCCCCAGAGATTTGGCTCTCTCTTTCTCCATTCAGCCTAAGGAACTCCTCCAGCTCTTCCTGCGTCCAGTTAGGATCAACACACAGGCCTGTCTCCATTACTGCTTCAGAGCAAACTTCTGCTTAAATCCTTCACAGAAAACACCTACTCTGGAGATCATACAGCCTGTACTTGACATAAAACTCAAGCAGCAAATCAAAATGATAAAAAGATAATATCATGAGCACTGCACCTGTTTCCATGGCTATTTTTATTCTCATTCCAGTTGTCCATTTCTAAGACAGTTGCTCTGCAAACAAATCCGGTAATGTTTATTTACTTTTCTGTTCAGATGATATTTCCCGTTTCCACTCATTTTTTTTAATATACAAACACTAACAGGATCATCTTTACTATTAGACCTCCACGGATGATATTTCTGGAAGGAACAAAGGGCAGCAAGCCAGAAGAGGTCAGAGAAAGTACGATGACAGCAGCAGAAGGATGTGAGATACAGAAGAGCCCACGCTGTGGCCCTGCCAAAAACAAGAAGAACAAAAAAAACCAGACTCTGTTTTAAGGTGTCATTTGTGATGAATATGGCTATTTTGGTTGCCACTTTTTCCTTTCTTCCCTAATGAATGAGGTGTTCCTGGGGTACGACACCTTCTAACCCTTTTTGGCTGACAGAAACTGCATCCATTACTCTTATCATCCATTACTCTATGCTATAAAGTCTGTGAAACAGTTTAAGGGATGAAAAAGTTCCCATAAAGCTGTTTAATAATATTTTCTCTACAGGCTGGCACCGGGGGAAATTTTGGTCCTCTTGGAGCAGGCTTTGAAGGCTGCACATCCTGAGGGCTTCCCCAGGTGTGCCAACTACAGCTGTGCAGTGTTTGCTGCTGCCTCTTCTTTACTCATCAGTCAGCTGAGCAGCCAAATGCCACAGGAAGGAAACTCTGCTTGGTTAGCTTGCATTCAGGTCACTTGTTTCAGGAAAAAATTTGACTGAGGTTAGTAAAGGCACGTAAATGCATTTTTTGAAAGCACAAGGGAAAAGAATATAATGTAAACCCACTAAACTGGCACTCTGAATAAGTCTGGAGGAGATCCACAGATATTAAAATGAGATTTGAAATTGGGTAGTTTTTTACCAAATACAAGGCTCAAGAAGGGGAGAATCACATAGAACATTCATTTTATGGACATGATCCTATAATCTGTTCTGTACCTCTAATGCTGTGTACAGACCTTAGGAGGAGCCAGAAACAAAGGACTGCACCATCCCAGCCACCTGAAGAGCCACACTCAGAAGTATCACACTGAAGGTGAAGCTCTCTCTAGATATATATATGCATTTGTGTACATAAAAAGGCATGTGAGTGTGCTTAAATATGGCTTAGTTACATGGAAGTTAATTTGGAGAAAATTCCCTGTTAGGCCAAAGGTGTGTCACAACACACTTTGCCCCAAAGGTGTCTTCTCCAGTATTTCCTTCACCAAGCAATGTGTTTTGTGCCTGGCTGGCAGCTGGGATGGGAGTGAGATGCATCTCCAGACTCCTGAATCCTTGGCTCCCTGTTGGGAACGTCAAGGAGGGGGCCAGTCCATCCCAGCCTAAGAAAATGCAGGAGCATTAGTTGCAGTCAGCACCTGTTATAGTAACATAAAGTCAACCCACTTGAACATAATGTGACCTCAGGACTGAAGAGTTTAAAGCTTTCTGCCCTTTGCTGGGGCCATAACACGTTGTATCATCCTTGGATTTGTATAAATAACCACGTTATGAGTGAGCCACGTGCTCCACACTCAGATGTTTTAGCCATAGCCCAGCATCCATGGAGGTGTGCTCTGGGATTGACAAATTGGCACAAAACTGGCACATGCCCTTGGATTTTCTTAGCTGTCTAGCTGAATTGGAGCATTTTCACTGCTCTCTGAGAGGGTTCCGAGTTTTTCCAAAGCCTTTCTTTCATACTCTTGCTGTAGGTTTCCTACAAAATTCGTTGAAGTGCTGCTGCTCTCAATCGAAAACTTTAAGGTCTCTTTTACTACTGACCGAGTCCTTTCTTCTTTCTGATGCCCAACATTCCCAAAACCAGTTGGTCTTGGTGTCCTCAAACATCTGAGGGGCACACGAGGTTTTTACTGCTTGGGAGAAGCCCACATTCCTGGGAAGTCACCATCTCCTGGGCTGGAGCCCAAGATTTAGGAGAGGCACTAATCTCTCCAGTAGTTCCTTGTCAGGAGATTCTTCAGCTCTAGCTTGGACAATGGAAGCCTGAACCGTTTGGACACAACTCTGAGCCTGAATTAACCCACAGGCGAGAAAATTCATGAAGCTGGAATCCCCCATCGTGTCTGGAGTGCCGTCCTTGGGGAAAGCGGCTCCGAGTGCTGCAGGCTCACAATTCCAGCATCGCCACCTCTGGTGATCCTGGCGCTCTCTGGTGGAGAGAATAGAATCGGTGAAAATAAAGGGGAAAGAAAGGGGAAAAAAAGAAAACAAACAAGAAAAAAAAAACTTGTCTGTCGTGGTTTAGTTTGTAAAAGCTCGCGCATTTTACTGAAGTTTGGTAAATATATTTATATATTTTTGAAGAGTCAACGTCATAATAAAAAATAACAGCCACAAAAATAATTTTCCTTCTTCCATTGCAGTGTTAGATACAACTAGTAAAAGAAATGCAATTGTCAGCAATTCCAGACAAAATGTCTGTTGTTTGCCTTTGTTCCTTTTGCAAAATCGTGATCACTTAGGAATAGGTTAATTACCAGGTATTGAATCATGGAATCACTGAATGGTTTGGGTTGGAAGGGACTTTAAAGATCATCCAGTTCCAACCCCCCTGCCATGGGTAGGAAACCTTTCACTAGACCAGGTTGCTCCAAGCCCCATCTAACCTGACCTTGAGCACTTCCAGGGATGGGGCAGCCACAGCTTCTCTGGACAACCCATTCCAGGGACCTCACCACCCTCATAGTAAAGAATTTCTTCTTAATATCTAATCTAAACCTTCTCTCTTTCAGTTTGAATTCAGATCTGGAGAGAGGGAAAAGTATGATCCTACAAGGAAAAGCAAAATTGTTATAATATGACAAAATTATGACACTTATAAATGACATTTATAAAATTAATGGGTGGGATATTGATGTGCTGCAACAAATACAAACACCATGGTGCCAATTATTTGTCTGTTTTCTCATGTTCTTTTTCCTTGTGTTCTGGTTTTGGGGTTAAACCACGACCTCTTGATAGGTTGTATTTCTGGTGGATGAATGTCTTCAAAAGAAAGTAAAGTATCCAAGGTGTACCAGCTTGGTTCTGATAGAATTTAAACATGGCTTTGCAGCTTTGCTTTATGTCTAAATACATAATTCAAAATTATGATTGGTAAAAACAGAACATTGTGACCCATTTGCTTTGAAGCTTAGGCAGTTTGTCAACAGTTATATTCATGGGGCATGGCTGTTTTTCCAAGACATTTTTAGGACCAGGACTGTATATTAATGCCACTTATAATAACAAAGCCATAAAAGCAATTTTCTGATCTAATGAAAAGCTCAGCTCCTGGCAGCAGGTCCTCTTAAGCAATTAAGAGATGTAGGCATTTGGGCAAAGAAGAACTGAATGACCTAATTGAGCTGAAGTTTTTCTGCTGTGAGGTCATGGTGGACAGGCCACTTCTTCTTTGGTCTTTGGATGGATCAGGTGTCTCCTGATTTTGGAAAAGAACTGAAAGTAAGAGAAGTCAACCTGGAGGTCTAATGATGTCATCATCTCTGAGCTCTTTGTGTATGGAGCAAGAAAGACTCCTACATTAAGAAAATTATGTTCTCTGGAACGCAGGAGTTGAGGGGGTTATTCCAGATCAAAAACCAGTCTCCTTGCCCCCATGCCAGCTCCTAGTTATGAAAGCTTGCTTGGTGCCAGGCTGCTGACCATCTT